TCGGGGTAGGCAATCTACCAAGGGGGCTTCCAAACGTTTGTTTCATGTGTTTGGACCTAGTTGTTTTTCAAAACATATGCATGTGTACACACACACACACACGAGATGTACGCCAGTAACCAACAAAGTAGGGATTGTCTCTCTCTCTCTCTATCTCTTTCTCTCTGTCTCTCTTTCGGTCTCTCTCGTGCTCTCTCTCTCTCTCTCAAAAAATTCAAACTTTTCCCATAATCAAGGATTGCAAAACATCGGGGTTGAACTTCATTCTTCCTGCACATCAGGACATCGAAACAAGTTTAACATTCAACTGCTAGCTAAATAGGTAAGCTCAAAGGTCAAAGGTTTAGGGTTAGAGGGTTTGAGGGTATCGGGCTGGCAGGGTTTCAGTTTGCTTAACACCCCAAAAACCCTAAGATAATAACCCTACAAAGGGCTTGTTTCTAGGGGTTCTAGGATAAAAACCCCTCCCCAGAATCAAAGGCAACCTAAACCCCCAAAAAAAGGGAATAAGGGTACTACTGGGCATCCTAGTTGGGTTCTTAAGCTATAACTAAAACCCGTCGGGCTTCATCGTCAAGCTCATCCTGCCACCTGATCGCCGCCAGGGGGATGCCCCAATTGCCCTAAATTGCCGGAATTACTCTAAACCCCAAACCCCAAACCCCAAACCCCAAACCCCAAACCCCAAACCCCAAACCCCAAACCCCAAACCCTAAACCCTAAACCCTAAACCCTACCCAAGGAGTGCCGGAGACCTTAAGCCATTCCTTGGCCACATCATGATGCCCAATAGGGCTTCTAGTCCATAAACCGAAGCTAGGGGTTGTAGTAGTCTAGGGTAGAGGGTTTGGGGTTTGGGGTTTAGGGTTTAGGGTTTAGGGTTTGGGGTTTGGGGTTTGGGTTTAGGGTTTAGGGTAATATGAACCCGGTTTTCTGCTTCATGTGGTCTCCCAGGTATGGAGTGTTGGTTGCAGAAGTTATCATTGGGACGTCTTGGCCTGCTGGTTGCGCAACATCATCGGGGTTTGGGTTTAGGGTTTAGGGTTTAGGGTTTAGGCTTTAGGCTTTAGGGTTTAGGCTTTAGGGTAGTAGGGCTGATAGCGTTGTGGCAGAGGTTGCTGGACCACGCTGCCAACTAACGGCAGGGAGCTTCCAAACCTGCCAATCCAAAACAGGACAGTCCCAAAAACCACAAGCTAACCCACATGGGGGTTTCCGAAAATACGGGTACCTGTTTTGGGGGGTCCCTTTCAGGGGCTTCTTCTCTTCTATTTGGGCAATAAAATGGGGTACTACCCAAAAAGCCTGAACACTGCGAAATCCCGCGCTCAAACATGTCAAAACTCTCAATCGCCTTAAGCCCAAACCTCTATGGCTGGCAAGCCCCCTAAGCCCCAAAGCCTGACCTGTAGATCAGGTACCCCAAATAAAGGAACAGCAATGAATCACCCTAAGCCCTGTAACCCCCAAACCCCAACCTCCAGAAAAGGAGACCCAGTACCTGGGACTCGATTTACCTGCAGTTTAGTAGAAACTACACCTTCATGAGTAGGTATAAACCAATCAACTGTAGGTGAAGAGAGTCCCAAACCCTAAACCCTAAACCCTAAACCCTAAACCCCCTAAACCCTAAACCCTAAACCCTAAACCCCCTAAACCCTAAACCCCGGCCCAATACAAAAATCAGCGCAGCTGTGCCACTGCCGAGGTCGACAGACTGGATTCGCACGTCCACCTCCTGGCCGACGCCGAGCTCATCCTCCTCGGGTTTAGGGTTTAGGGTATTAGGGTTTAGGATTTAGGGTTTAGGGTTTAGGGTTTAGGGCCCCTTTATACTAACAGTCCTTACTAGGGACTTGAATAAAGGGTACTAGGGTAATCCCTACTCAGGACTGTTAGTATAAGGGCGAACATCCCAAGGGGATACTGTAATCCCTATTCCAGACTGTTCGTACAAGGGGGAACATCCCAGCAATAAATCCCTCAGCCCTAAACCCTAAACCCTAAACCCTAAACCCTAAACCCTAAACCCGCCGTATTTGGGGGACTGAGGCGAACAGGGTTGAGGGCTTCAGTGCATACCCAGATTTCGAGTTGTACTTTTTTTGTCCCCTGCCTCATTTCTATAAACCCAAAAAGCCCTAAAACCCTAAAACCCTATAAACCCCTAAACCCCTAAACCCCTAAACCCCTAAACCCCTAAAACCCTAAACCCCTAAACCCCTAAAACCCAAAACAATTCAACGAAGCCACCACCGACTCGACGAAGCCGTCCCGGATCTGCGTGATGTGCCTGGGCCACGATGCGAAACCCTAGAGGGTTTAGGGTTTAGGGTTTAAGGTTTAGATTTTAGGGTTTAGGGTTCAGGGCTTTCTACCTTACGAACCCAAGCAAAGGCCTCTCTTTGCCTACAGTTTTATGGGTTATACCCTTACTGATTAAGGGGTAGTTGCTATCGGTAAATTGGGTGTAGGTTTTGGGGTTTTACCTAAGGTAAGGCGTTCAGGGGTCTAAAGCGTTGACAGGGTTTTTAGGGGTTTACAGGGTTTAGGATTTGTAGGGTGTAAGGCTTATAGGGGGTTAAAGGGCGGATGAGTTTTTAGGAGTTTCTTGGAGGTTATCTGTTTCAGGGGTGTGTAAGGGTTTCTAGGGGTTCATGGGGCGTAGGTGCTGTCAGGGAGTTATGGTGTTTAGGGGTGTGTAGGAGGTTTTTCGGGTTTATTCCGGGGTTTGTTTGGGGAGTCTGGGGTTTATAGATATGTTTTTGGTTTGTAGGGTGCTTCGGGTTTGTCGGGTTTAAGTTTAAACGGTTGTTGGGTTTTTGTAGGTTTTGTCAGGTGTTTATAGGGTTGTAGGGTTCATGGGATTTGTAGGCTTTGTAGGGGCCTATAAGGTTTGTGGCGTTGATAGAGTATAGGGTTTGTATGGTTTAGGGATCCTAAACAAACGGGAAGGTGCTGGGGGATGTGCAACCCTAAACCCTAAACCCTAAAGCCTAAAGCCTAAACCCTAAACCCTAAACCCTAAACCCTAAACCCTAAACCCTAAACCCTAAGCCCAGGCAGCCCGCGGGCTTGAATTGGGGCTTAGAGTTAAGAGCCTGAACCCTTTCTTTGGCTTGAGGCCAGCTCGGGGTGGGGTTTCGGGTTTAGGGTTTAGGCTTTGGGGTTTAGGGTTTAGGGTTTCGGGTAAGTAGGGCAAGTCGGGTTTAGAGTTTTTCTAGTTCTGGTTGGGGTAGGATTCAAACGTCCTATTCCTTGTTGAGTTTAAGTACCTGTAGGAATATAGAAAAGTTACCCTAAACCCTAAACCCTATTTAGGGGTTAAGGTACTGCCGCATCTCCGTAAGCCAGGATGCACCAGACCGTCGGCAGTTTCTCCATCCTCGCTCCTGGGCGTTTTCACCACTGCAGTGGTCTGCCGGGTTTAGGGTTTAGGGTTTAGGGTTTAGGGTTAGGGTTTCGGGTTTCGGGGTACCCAAAAGAGCCCAATACCCCTTAATCAAAAGGGAAACTTACCTTGAGGGTATTGGGCTCCTTGGGTACCCAGGGTTTATGGTCCATATAACCCTAAACCCAAAATACCCTGATAGTCGTATCGGGTACATCACCACCACTTGCGGCGGGTAGTTACCTGGTCCCTTAAAAGGGGACCCCTTATATAGCCCCCCATTCCCCTTTAACCCTTTAAAGGAGTTAAGGGTCCATATTCAGGGCCATGTAACTTCATTTAGATTCATTTGGCCCCCAAGGTTCTGCCGCTGTTCGCACTTCTTGCTTCGGAGGGCTTAGTTTCCGTGAGACCTTTAGCTTTAAGGGGGGGTTTAGGGTTTAGAGCTTAGGGTTCTTAGACCCAAAATGAGGCGCAGTGTTCCGAATTAAGGCCTAGGTCTTTTCTCGTTTATTGGGGGGCCGGGGGGGGGGGGGGGGGGCTCTTGTGCTGCAAAAGGGGGACAAGCAAACCCGCCGCTAAACCCCTATGTTTCGTGAGATGAGGAAAGTACACATCGAAGCAGCGCTATGACGATCCCGAACGACTTTGGGATCTAGGGTTTATATCTACCTTCAGAATCCAAAACGTGTAGGTTCTTACTATAAAACCCCTTATCGGATTCTTGGGTACCTACAACAAAGTAGGTTTTGGATCCTTAAGGTAGGATTTGAGGTACAAGGCGCCGGTAAGCAACAGCTAGTCGGGGCTGTGTTGGGCTCTGGGGGATGTGGACCAGAAGCAGCCAAGCACCAATCAAAGTTTAGGGTCTATTTAGCTCTAAGCCCTCTTAAATGTGGCGGAGAGTTGCCCTATAAACCCTAGGCGTACTGGTTCTTTGGTAGGTAATGAGGGAATCAGGTACCTTGGATCCCCCCCCTACTACCCTTTACGACATTCTATAAGGACCTCCTTCCCTCATTCCCTACGAAGACCCAACAGGTAGAAGCCCAAAAGCCCTTAAGCCTCTAAACCTACACCCAAGAAGGCCAACAGTTGGGATGTTCCCCCTTATACCAACAGTCCGTAAACGGAATTATAGTACTACAGTATCCCGATGACAATCCCATTAAGGACTGCTAGTATAAGGTTAGGGTTTAGGGTTTAGGGTACAAGGTTTAGGGTTTAGGGTTTAGGGTTAGGGTTTAGGGAACATCCCAAGCCAACAACCCTAAGCAGCCAAAGAGTCGTCAGAGTCACGAAGGCCCCGAAGGGAGCCTCGGCAAAGGGCGCGGGCTGAAAGGAGGGTCTAGGGTTTAGGGTTTAAGGTTTAGGGTTTAGGGATTAGGGATTTTAGCGTTAGGGGTGTAAGTGGGAGCTTCCCAAAAAATTGGATTTCTGGGGTTGCTGTGAATAAGGACTATGCTGTTTTTTGGGGGGGGTATTTTAGAGATACGCCTGGGTATGTCCCAGATGGATTGAATGTTTACCCAGGGCTTCCGGGTCTTGCGCAGCAGGAGGACGCTCTTGCGGACCTCCAGCAGTACGCCCTAAACATGAAGGCCTTTGATCACATGGGCCCATTGACCTCAATGCTTTCTGAACAAGTCGGCAAGTAGGATTTGGGCTCTGGGAATTTGAAGTTGGGGCTGAGGCAACCTGCCCTTGTCTTGGTAGCCCGTGAATCCTACAAGGAGGGGCCCCCTAGTTACAAGTGGAGCTATAAGAGCCCTAAATTGGGTTATTGGGTTATAAGGATCCTAAATTAGCTTATAAGTCCCTTAACTACAGTTAGTATAGTAAGGGGGGGCCCTCTTGTAGAGCTCACGGCTGAAGCCGACGGAGGCTTGAATCACACGCAATCGCCCAGGCTATCAGAGCATAAGCGACCTTTCGAAGAACCTGGCAAGTCTCCTCCCTCAGCCCAAAAACCTGAACTTGGGAGGGTTTAGGGTTTAGGGTTTAGGGTTTAGGGTTTAGGGTTTAGGGGAACCCCCTCCAAAGCCTCAATAGCCAAGGTTTGTTCCCAAGGTGCCACCCTCGCAACCTTGCCCTTCACCCAGGTGTCCGGAGAGATGTCCTGCAGGGCTTAGGGTTTAGGATTTAGGGTTTAGGGCTGGGGTTTAGGAGAGATGTCCTGCAGCGGCCAGGGTTTAGGGTTGAGGGTTTAGGGTTTCAGGGTTTAGGGGTGTAGGATTTAGGGGTTTGGGGTTTTAGGGGTTTAGGGGTTTAGGGGTTTAGAGGTTTAGAGGTTTAGGGCTTAGGGGTTTAGGGTTTAGGTGTGCATTGAAGGGTTTAGGAGTTATAATTAGGGGCTCGAGGGGGTGCCAGCTTTCTATTCATACCTTGGCCCCCAAAGTGCGCACATAAACAGAGGCCCAAACCCACAAAACGGACATTTGGTGTACAAACTTTGGGGCTTTAAGGGGGGTTTGGGTACGGCTTAGAGAATCCATATGAGCGACGGACAAAATTACTTGTCGCGGTGCGAGGTCGCGGGATACCACATTATCGCTTTACGTGGGGCCCATATCGCTTTACATACTATGGGACAAAGGGACCCCATGAAGCAAAACAGGTTAGAATGTGCAAACTAACGTTATCGCTTTAGGTGGGGCCCATATTGCTTTCCATGGTTTACTGATGTTTACCGTAGTACTGGCTTCAAGACCCATAAATCTGGCAGGCGCTCTTATGTCTCTTCATGCCACGGCCAGCAACATGGTACCAATGCTACCCGACTGGCGTGCACGCCCCCGCTCAAAACAGTTCAGGGTTCAGGGTTCAGGGTTTATAGATGTTTATAGTCTTAGGGCATCAACACATCCTCCGCCCACTGCCTTGTGGACCCGTCCGTAGGCTCAAGATAGCGACAGCCCAAAGAACCTCCAACCCCAAAACACTAAAACCCAGACCAACTGCAAACCCGAAGCCCTCCCTGGACATTCTAAGATATCCCAAAGTCCCACCTGGCCCTCAACCTAAACCCTAAACCCTAAACCCTAAACCCCAAACCCTAAACCCTAAACCCCAAACCCCAAACCCTAAACCCTCAAAAGACGCAGGCACCTGGAATGCTTCGAAGTTTTGCGGAGGGCGGCCGCCACCCATGCCGCCCCCGAAGCCGCCTTTTGCAAAAACTGGGGCTCGAGGCTCTGTATGGGGTTTGGGGTTTGGGGTTTAGGGTTTGGGGTTTGGGGTTTAGGGTTTAGGGTTTGGGGTTTAGGGTTTGGGTTTTGGGGTTTAGGTTTAGGGTTTGGGGTTTAGGGTTTAGGGTTTAGGGTTTGGGTTTGGGGTTTGGGGTTTAGGGTTTGGGGTTTAGGGTTTAGGGGTAGTTGCATGGTCCCTTGGTACGTGGAGGTTTAGGGTACTTACTCACCAATTATAAGTGTACTTATAACTGTACTTATAAGCCCCTTAGGTGCGCCAATATGGCTACCAGTACAGTTAGAACGGGTTAATAAGTACCATGAACCTCCAAGTATGGGCCCTTAAAAGGGTATCCCTTACATACCCCCCCCCCCCCCCCGCCCTAAATGCCCTATACAAATTGAAGGGCCAATACATCAGGACCTAAAGGAGGTGGTTGGGGTTTACAGTTTTAGGAATCAGATTGCTGTTAGGCTTTTTTGTGAGGCGTCCTGTATCCGGTTGGAGGTTCGGGTTGCAAGGTTTAGGGTTCTAGCCTTAAGGTAGCATAACGAATTACTAGTTGCTTGAGAACCCCCCAACATATTCTCCCTTATAAGGGAAATGTAGGGATTAATGGTTGATATTCTTTTGGGGTTCTTAAGCAAATAGTAGATACGGGCCATGTTAGGAGCATACGAAGGCTTAAGGGGAACCTTTATGGGTACAACCTTGGTGCTACGAGTCTTCATCCCTTGAGGTTTTGCCTTGGAGGGCTTAAGCTAAGGTCGAGTCGAGGGGAGTGCGGAGGTGACCCCAAAAGCCCAGAAAAAACAACCATAAACCCTAAACTCTAAACCCTAAACCCTAAACCCTAAACCCTAGACCCTAAACGGCAGGGGCAGGGCCGAAGAGCACCTTGCTCTCGCATGGACAGGCTCATCTTTCCAGCGTCGAGGTCGACCTGGGCCCAAAAGACTTCACGCGCGGCAGGGCCAAGTGCGCCGTACCAAACCTGCACCTGCCCTAAACCCTAAACTTGGGGGTGGGCTCTACCATCATTTACTATGGGATTTGCGCTACCCACCGTGGGCCCTCCGTTACAGCTCCGTTACAGCACCGGCTACAGTTCCGTTACAGCTTCGTTGCACCTCCGTTACAGCTTCCTATAGAGATCCGTTACAGCTCCGTTGCACCTCCGTTACACCTCCGTTACAGCTTCCGTTACACTTCCGTTACACTTCCGTTGCAGCTCCGTTACAGCTCTGATGCACCTCCGTTACAGCTCCGTTGCACCTCCGTTACAGCTCCTTTACAGCTTCCGTTACAGCTCCGTTACAGCTCCGTTGCACCTCCGTTACAGCTCCGTTACAGCTTCCGTTACAGTTTCCGTTACAGCTCCGTTACAGCTCCATCACAGCTCCGATGCACCTCCGCTACAGCTCCGTTACAGCTTCCGTTACAGCTCAGTTACACAGCTCCGTTACAGCTCCGTTACATCTCCCTTACAGCTCCGCCACAGCTCCCGTTACAGCTCAGTTGTACAGCTCCGTTACAGTTCCGTTACAGGTCCGTTATCAAGTTGTTGCTTCTGCTACGGCTCCGTTAGAGCTTCCGTTACAGCATCGCTACAGCCGGTAGCGCTCCGTTGCAGCCTTCCGACACGGCTCCGTTACAGCTTCGCGACAAGTCCGTTACAGCTCCGCTCCTTTCCGTTACAGTTTCCGTTACAAGCCCCGTGAACGGCGAGCATTTCTGTCATAGTAGAGGCCTGCAAATGATGGCAGAGCCCCGCCCCAGCCCTAAACCCTAAACCCGAAACCCTAAACCCTAAACCCTAAGCCCTAAACCCTAACCCAAAACCCACCTGGTTGAAGGCTCCCAGCTGCGCTGCACGAGGGGCGTAGGCTGTAAGTAGGCTCACCATCGTCATATATGGGCAATTCCCAAAATAGGGGTACCCCTCTTACACCCGAAATGGAACAGAACCCCCTTAAAGGGATTCCCCAACCCCTATTTTCGGAAACCCAAAACCCCTGCATTAATAAACCTTAAGTAATATTAAGGATCCCTTGTATAAATTGAGGTAGTCCTTAATTAAGGGGTATTGGGCTCTTTTGGTATCACTAACACCTAAAACCCTAAGACTAAACCCTGAACCCTAAACCCTAACCCTAAAAAGATAGGTATCAAAAGTACACCTTTCGCAATTTTGAAAGAAAGCTTGGAGTCTGAGAGGTCGAATCTGAGAAGAGCGAAGAAGAAGTCAAAAACTCCGAGTTCCGATGTTTGGAGTTTGCAAGGCTTAGGGTTTAGGGTTTAGGGTTTAGGGTTTAGGGTCTAGGGCTTAAGGTTTAGGGTTTCAAGATGGCCGTCTCTGCCAGGATGGTGCCTGAAAATCTGAACCTGCGGGGAACAGGAGGGAGGTAAACCGAACTCTAAAATGGTTCTGGGTCCATTTTTCCCCTCATAAGGGGTTATAGAGTACATGACCCTAAACCCTAAACCCGAAACCCTAAACCCTACATATACGAACCCCCAATTTTAGGCTTCAAATTCGTCAAAAAGATCCGAGGCCCAGGCCCTGAACCCTAAACCCTAAACCCTAAACCCTGATCCGAGGCCCAGGCCCCCTCAATCCGGACCTTCACCTCCTGACCCACCTGCACGACGTCCTCCACGTTGTCCACGAAGCCATCTTGCAGCCTTCAGTTGGGTTTAGGGTTTAGGATTTAGGATTTGGGGTTTAGGGTTTAGGGTTTAGGGTTTAGGGTTCAGGGCCAAACTTCCTTAGCAGAAAGGCGGCTCACGCCCAAGACTCGCTTGAAGGCTCAGGCAAGGAGACAACTACATGGGGGCCTAAGTGGCCCAAGTTGGGTTATCTGACTTGTGGCGCGATGCATAGCCTACTTACCTAAGTTCCCTGAGCCCTAAACCCTAAACGGCCCTAAACCCTAAACCCTAAACCTTAAACCCTAATCCCCAAACCCTGAGACCTTAAGCAGACCAGCGCGCGCACCGTGCCCCCAACCCAGCTCGGACGTTGAGGCACCCAAACCCTTTCTGGGGACTACACGACCCCCAGGTAGGACCCCCAAAAATGGCTTCATCCTACTTGGTCACCCTACTCAATAACCACTAGGTACAGTACCCTAAACCCTAAACCCTAAACCCGAAAAGGGTAATGTCCAGTTATTGAAAGGAATATAGTGGCATGGGGCAGGCGGCTCTGCCGCCTGACAAGCTGAAGGCGAGCTTCGCTCATGACCTACCAAGCAAAGAAAAACGAAGACTCCCATACCACGGTTTCCGCTAAACCCTAAACCCTAAACCGTCCAAACCCTAAACCCTAATCTGTCAAGCAAGGGAAACCAATTCATGCCGAACCTACACCCTACGCTGGAGAAGAACCACAGCTCGAGAAGCTCCAAATAAACTCCTTGGTCACAATCTCACGATCTTAGGGCTTTTAGGGTTTAGGGTTTAGGATTTAGGGTTTAGGGCTTTTGGAGTGTGACCTCATTTGACAAAAGTAGGGTGTGCCCTTTTTGACAAAAGCAGAGTGTGACGTTCAGGATTTTTGTTCGCCACCCTGCCCAGCAGCCTCGCCTCGCAACCACACTGCAGGGATGCAAAAAGTCCATCGTAGGGGGGTTTAGGGTTTAGGATTTGGAGGGTTTAGGGTTTAGGGTTTAGGGTTTAGGGTTTAGGGTTTAGGGTTTAGGGTTTAGGGTTTAGGGTTTAGGGTTTAGGGCTAGATCAGCCGGGCGACTTGGAGATGTGAACCAAACCATCTGCCGATTCGCCGCTTTCCTGAGACAAGCATCGCATGTGGGGCTTTAAGCTAGGGGTTTGGGGTTTGGGGTTTGGGGCTTGGGGTTTAGGGCTTAGGGCTTAGGGTTTAGGGATTAGGTGGACCCTTGGGGAGATAGACCCTCTGAGTAAGGTCCCTGTCTAAGAGAGCCAGAAGAGGGTGAAGAAGGGTTCCCTTTGAAGGGTCCCCCTTATCCTACCTGGGATAAGCGGCCGAGAGCAAGGCTTCGTCAAGGGACTGAAGGAGGAACCCTAATAAGGGACCTTACAGGGGTTCTTTCGGGGGGTACTTAGCTATATTATAGAGGGACTATGTAGGGTATATATAGGGGTTGTATCGGGGAATAAGATTACGGGTCCCATCTAGGGGTCCCTCCTTATGCCCCTTAACTTCGGCGCTGCGCCGAAAGAAAACCCTAAGGATCCTCTTTAAGGGTTTATAGGGCTTAGGGTTTAGGGGGCCGAAAAGCTACTCTGTAGGAACCCTTTCAGGCGCGAGTATATACTGCATAGGTACATGGATCCTTAAGGAAAGCACGCAACGCACACACCCATGGCACTTGCGCACTGCCGCTCACACACACACACACACGCACACGCAAAAACCCCAATACAAAGAACCTAAATCCCATGGTACGGTCCGCAAAGGTCTAGGGTTGAGTGGCATGCTCTGGCCGGAAGGCTTGGTTTGTAGCCTTAAACCGCTACATGGGCCCTCAATTGTGGTTCCTTTTTTGGCACTGAAAAGTTTCTGTTTACATTATACATACCATAAAGTTAGTACCGCCAGAAGGGTACAGCAAGTAAGGGACAGGGCTTCCACAAATCCCATGATGATGACTACAGTAATGGCAAGTCTATTTATAGCCAAATCGTACTTCTGGTGCCGACAGCAAGAGTAAACTTACACATACAAGTAATATCAGCTGTGGAAAACATGAAGCAAACAGTGGCACAAGCCCTAACACGAGTGTAATAGCCGTATCGCTCGTATGATCCTAGAAATAGGAACACTAACCTGAAACTCCAAACGCTGACCCTAAACCCCATAAACCCAAGCCCTGCTGTCCAGGCGTCAAGCGTGACCGTGACAAAGGCCCCAAAAGGCGCAGTCCGGGCTACCACACCCTTCTGCCACTCCGAGGGAAGGATGTCAAAGAAGGGATTCCTGGGGTCTGAGATATAGGTTTAGGGTTTCGGGTTAGGGTTTAGGGTTTAGGGTTTAGGGTTTAGGGTTTAGAGTTTAGGGTTTAGGGTCCTTCAACTCAAGGGCTGAGGGCTTGCTTCAGGGCTTGCGAAGGAACAAAATCCAGGCCCCGGACACGCGAAGAAGAGCCGACAGTGGAGCAACAGCTTCAGCAACAACGTGGGAGCGCATGCGGGGGTTGATTAGGGTTTAGGGTTTAGGGTTTAGGGTTTAGGGTTTAGGGTTTAGGGTTTCGGGTTTAGGGTTTCGGGTTTAGGGTTTAGGGTTTAGGGTTGCTGCGGAGTGCTGCTACCAGGTGCTTCGGAGTTGGGTCGGGGAGGCCTTAGGGTGCCCAAGGATCCCCAACCACAACTGCCGTGGTAAAAAACAGCCATCATGCACCCTAGGGCCATCATGCACCCTAGGGCCACAAATCCCCAAGGATCAGTGTACCTATATATAGGTTTTCGGGCATATATATATATATATATATATATATATATTTGGGCCTTAAAGCTACTACAGGAACCCCCTAAGGATCAGTGTACCTGTAGGTTTTCGGGCATGTATATTTGGGCCTTAGAGCTACTACAGGAACCCTGGAAGGTCCAAGTATAGACCATCTAGGCACGTGGATCCTTTGGGTATGTACGGTATGAACCTCCTTAAGATGTGTGGATCATAATTAAACCCTAAGGCCCAAACCCGAAACCCTAAACCCTAAACCCCAAACCCTAAACCCTAAACCCTAAGCCCCAAAATAAACACCCTAGCCCCCTGTGGAGCAACCTGGGCCTTAGAGCCCTCGTAGGTCCGGGCGTCCCCAAGGAACAACTATGGCAAATAAGGAGGGACCCCTATAGAAGGGACCTTAGGGTTTAGGGTTTAGGGTTCAGGGTTCAGGGTTTAGGAATCATATTCCCGTATATACCACCTATATGTATATGTGTAGGTGTCGACTTTATATGGTCCCTACAAACCCCAGCAGCCCCTACATTGCCCCTAAGGGTCCCTTATAGTCGTAGTTGTCCCTCCTTAAGTCCCTTGAAACAAGATACCCGCAGAGGCCACAGGCCCCAAAGGCAGTGTGGGGCACAAGCGTTCCATGGGCGTTTGGGTTTGGGGTTTGTGAGTTTGGGGCGCCTGGGGTTTACCTGAAGGCTCCAATGTGGTTCCTGTTTGGGCTAGCTATAGGGGATTCTAGTATGCGACCACAGAAAGGTACTACATAGGAGCCTTTGGGTAGAGTTTAGGGGTTGGAGGCCCACCCCCCAACATGAAAGATGTGCAGGCTGTCCTTATGGGCCCTCCCGGCCATCGAACCTTACCTGGACTCTCAATCGTCGTTCAATTTCGTTGGGCGCCTACTCTTCTGCGTATTCTCTTCGTTGAAAGAAAAAACACTAAGAACACAGCTAGGGGTCCAGGTACCCTAAACCCTAAACCCTAAACCCTAAACCCTAAACCCCCCCAATAGGCTCCTGCAGAACCAAGGGGCAGATCCTCAGGTGCTCGCCTGCCGCCGCCATCCAGCCGACCTTCCACCTCAGAGAAGTCCCAAGTCCGATGGGCATGCCCCCCAGAAAGGGGTTTAGGGTTTAGGGTTTAGGGCTTAGGGCTTAGGGTTTAGGGTTTAACCAAGCCCTATGGGGAATTTCCTCAAGAACGGTACCCCTTGTGTAGCCCAAATATCGTAGAGTCCCCTTTCTGAGGACCCCATCACCCAATGTGAGGGGTTTAGGGTTTAGGGTTTAGGGTTTAGGGTTTAGGGTTTAGGGTTTAGGGTTTAGGGTTTAGGGTTTAGGGTTTAGGGTTTAGGCTAAGGGTTTAGGGTTACCAATCCATATGGGGCCGAATGAAACCTGAAATTGGGGATCGCCTACCCTCTACTTACAGGTTCTTGGGTACTTATAACCCCAATAGTTGCACTTTTAAGACACCTAGATCCTCGATGTAGGTTAGGAGTTCACGTAAATGTGGTGTAAGAAGAACCCATGAACCTCCAAGTACTACGAGAATCCCTAGTAAGGTATGTGGGTGGTTGTCAAAAGTATGGTCCCTTTTTGGATCCCTATTATACTACGGCACCTAATATTTAGGGTACCCCAAAAGGGATTATAATTTTCACAACCACCCATGTGCACCATAGACCCTTTGAGGGTTCATGTGCTCCCCAAGCAACCCTGGATAGCCTCGGTTTGGGAAAGCGAGTGTCAAGGAAATACAAGGAAGGAGGTTTAGGGCTTAAGAATTATACGGGTTTAGGGTTTAGGGCCTAGAGGGTCAGGGTTTTTCGGGTTGAGACGGTCTCCTCTGAAAGGGAACCCTGACCCTTGAACGGTAGACCCAAGTCGGTCAGGAGGCCATCGTGAGGCCAAACTTGCCATCGTCCTGCCGGGTGGGGGGGGGGGGGGGGGGGGCTTGTGGACGTGACTGTTGAACCCTGCCTTGTACCTTTAGGGTTAGGGTTTAGGGTTTAGGGTTTAGGGTTTAGGGTTTAGGGTTTAGGGTTTAGGGTTTAGGGTTTAGGGTTTAGGGTTTAGGGTTTAGGGTCTAGGGGCTCAAGTTTTAGCGAAAAGTACGCAGAAAAAGAAGGTACCCAAAAAGAAGGAACTAGACTTTGTGGTCCGGCATCCGGAACAAAAGGTTAACCTTTGGGCTTACATAGGGAGTATGATGACCCAAAAAGGAACCCTAAACCTTAAACCCTAAACCCTAAACCCTAAACCCTAAACCCTAAACCAAGTAGGAAGGCCCCGTCCTGCTTCCCGGAGACCCAGACTTCGACCTCCTGACCTTCGTGGACCTCATCGTAGATGTTCTCCACGCGCTGGGTGGAGATCCTGCGTAGGATGCTGTTGTAGGATGGTGTTAAGTTTAGGGTTTAGGGTTTAGGGTTTAGGGTTTAGGGTTTGGGGTTTAGGGTTTAGGGTTTAGGGTTTCGGATTTAGGGTTTATACCTAAAACACATCCTTTGGGACCAAGTGAACCCTAAAATTGGGGTCGTACACCCAATACTACTACATCACTACAATCCCTAGGTATGTGGGCCATCAACCCCCAAGGAAGATGATTATGCAGTAGTATACGCTTCTTGGGGAGCATTTGCAAGGACCGAGTGCGTGTCGGATGTGTTTCGGTTTAGGGTTTCATCGCTCACTTAGGGTTTGGGGTGTGGGGTTTGCTGTCATACTGATTGACAGTACTTAGGGGCATCTGAAAAGGGTACCTTTCACAGAATGATGAGTACTTTGGGATGTATTTGGCGCACCCCCCCCCCCCTCTAGGAACTACCCACGAGGTGGAGGGCTTGATCAACGTCCGATGTCCGCAAATATCTACGCCGTACCGAGAGTTAACACCCTTTGCCTTCGAAAACATGATTGAGGCACAGTTCAAGGTCATTCGCTCGGATTTATGGTATAGTATCAAACCTATCTCCTTAGGTATAGACCCAAGAGTAACCTAGGAATAACAAGTGCTCTTTTTGGTTTAAAGGGGCGTATAAGGGAACCTAAGCCAATAAAAAGGGGAAGACGGGCCTACTCTGGGCCCTAGCTTCTGACCCTAAACCCTAAACCCTAAACCCTACTCTGGGTCCTAGTACCCTAAAGGTAGCGCCTTCGGCGTCTGGAGAGGCCTCCGAGTTTGGGGATGACAAAGGTCTTGGGTTGCTACGAAACTCTAAACCCTAAACCCTAAAACCCTAAACCCTAAACCCTAAACCCAACCTACCAGTAGGATCTTATCGGATGTGCAGGGCTTCCGAACTTCATGGCTTTTGGGGTGTTTGGGGCCTTTTGTTGGGTTTAGGGTTTACGGCTTAGCGGTTGAAGGTGTCGAGGGATCTTCTTTTCTGTTGGGGATCTTCGGGGGACAAGCCCTAAACCCTAAACCCTAAACCCCAAACCCTAACCCTAAACCCTGAACCCGAAACGGCCTCGAGATGTGGACCAGCCCATCCGCTTCGGCGCCAATGTCGACAAAGGCCCCGAAGTCCAACACGGTCTTGACGGTGCCTAGCGAAGCCAAAGGCTGGGTTTAGGGTTTAGGGTTTAGGGTTTAGGGTTTAGGGTTGAAGGGTGAAGGGTTTAGGGTTTAGGGTTTAGGGTCTAGGGTCTAGGGTTTAGGGTTTAGGGGTTCTTGGCTGCACTTAGCAGGGTAGCTATAAATTAAATTTTTAGCTGCCTTCTTAAGAAACCCAATTTAAGCCCAAAAAGGCTAAAGATATGTAAAGTTACAGCAAAGTACCACAAAGTCTACTATTGAAAGATAAAACGGGATGATGTTAGACATCATGTTCACAAATCATGACAAGAAACCAAAATAAATAGCATGATAAAAAGTATTGAATGAAAAACAGGATGATGTTAAACATAAGGTTCACAAATCATGGCAAGATATCAAGATATATGTATATAGAGCATGATAAAAAAACTATGTTTATAGATTTATGACAAGAATCATCTAATCATCTAATCATTTCAGAATGAGACAGGGATTGAATGCCCTACGCATGGGGTTTTCCCTGCACCATTCATTTGGTTGAGGGTTGAGGGTTTAGGGTGGGGTGGGGGGGGGTTCCCAAAAACTTAGGATTGGAGAATTTGGGGGTTTAGTCATGAAACACCCAAAACTGGGCCGAGGGTTTAGGGCTCAGGGTTTACTGCACCCCACATTCCCAACTAGTTATTGGTAGGGAAGTAGAGACATCCGTCAGCCTCTGTCGCCCGTTCAGGAACTATTCGGGCCACCTGTTTTCCCAACTCCCTCTTAAGAATCCTGCAAGAGTCATGTATATGGCCAATAAACCCCAGGGTTTAGGGTTTGGAGTTCGTCCCCAAAAAGATGCAGCATCAATCTGCGCACACGCACACACCCACTAAATGGGCCAGCAGCGACTAGGACAAACACCCTTTTTGGCAGGTTTTTTGCCTAACACAAATCCCCAAACGCAAATGCCCAAACCCTAAACCCCTCCCTGAAGCCCGATGAAGAAACCGACTAAGTCCGACAGGCCAGAATAAGAAGAGGGGTTTCCTAAACCCTAAACCCTAAAGCCAAAACCCTAAACCCTAAACCCCCGGGCGCCTGTGTACTTTGCTCCGATCTCCAGGTCTTCCACAGGAATCGGGGGGTACTTCATCTCCTGTTTGGAGGGTTTAGGGATTAGGGTTTAGGCTTTAGGGTTTGGGGGAAGGGACTTTCGTAGGTTGAGTGTTGATGGTTTCGGGGGTTTAGCGTGTTTAGGGCTGCATGGGGTGTTTAGGTTCATGTCCTGTTTAGGGGAGGCACTGTAGTAGATTTAGCGATGGGAGTTTAGGGGGTTTAGCGGGTTTAGGGTGTTTCGGTTTAAGGGATTTGGAGCTTAGGGGGGAAGGCTCCATACATCCTTAGTCAGAGAATCTTCTGGAAACTGTATCAAGGTCCCAAAAATACTGCGGAAGGAACATCTTAAGCCCAAAGTAAGAGTCTGTGGGTTCAGCCACACCCTAAACCCCCCACGGGCGAGCGATCCTTGGGCTGCACCGTGGATTCCTCGGGGCCGCCATCGGGGTCGTCCCACTTCACCGTGAAGGAGCCATCGTCATTGATCTTGGCCTTTTGGGGTTTAGGGTTTAGGGCTAGGGTTTTTTGGTACACTTCGGGTTTAGATTTTAGGGTTTATAGGGTTCAGGGTTTAGGAGCCATCGTCATTGATCTTGGCCTTTTGGGGTTTTAGGGGCTAGGATTGAGGGTTTAAGGGCTTAGGGTTTAAGGCTTGGGCTTTGGGGTTTTAGGACTAGGGCTTTGGGGGTCAGTGTGTTAGGGTTTAGGGCTAGAGCTTTGGGGCTTTAGGGGTTTTAGGGGTTTCGGGTTAGGGCTAGGGTTTAGGGTTTGAGGGTTTAGGGTAAGGAGCCATCGTCATTGGTCTTGGCCTTTTGGGATTTTAGGGGTTTTAGGGTTTCGGGTTTAGGGCTAGGGTTTAGGGTTTGAAGGTTTAGGGTAAGCAATCTAGGCCTTTGGGGTTTTAGGGGTTTTCAGGGTTTGGGGCTTAGGGGTGTTTTGGTGCAGGTTTTGATCTTGGCCTTTGGGGTTGAGGGCTTTTTTTCCTCCTGCACAGCTGGGGCGAATCCGCATCGCGTTTCGGGCTCTAGGGGTTGTAGGGTTGCGGGTTTGGCAGGGGTGTTTTGGTGTAGGGTTTAGGGTTTAGGGCTTTAGGCCTAAACCCTAAACCCTAAACCCTAATCCCTAAACCCTAAACCCTAAACCCTAAACCCTAAAAGGGTTCAGAGTTTCGCTTCTGGAGCATTCGGGAGCTTCTCGCCTATGTTCCCAGGCGCGCTCCATCAAGGGGCCCATGCCCCAGCAAAGCTTTAGCCGTTAGCGGATTCCAGGGCCATGCGCTGAGCAAGGGCTCTTAAGGGAAGGGGGTTTAAGGGGGGTATGTCACTACTCCTTAACCTCCCTAAGCTTCCGTAAGGTTCCCGGGCACCTACCCCCCAGGAACCCCCATGAACCCCCCTCCCCCTGTAGTTCAACGGTTTGCGGGTTTTCAACCAGTTCGACAGTGAACATACCGAAGCCTGAGCCCAAAAGACCCCCCACTGGGCCTTAAGACACGGGAGCTTGGGGTTAAGAGGTTAGGGTTGGGGTTAAGGGGGCTAGGGTTTCGGGTCTACTACAGAGGCATCTCTGCTGTCCGGGAGCAACATCAGCCGTGTACCAGCCGCCATCCTCCTCGAAAACCGCTTCCACCTTCTCTCCCACCTTGTAATCCTCAGCGGTTCAGGTCCCTAAACCCTAAACCCCAAACCCTAAACCCGAAACCCTAAACCCTTAACCCTAAACCCTAAACCTGGTCTTGGAGGTTAGGATTGCCCGACCCTTCCAAGCTCATGAGATCGTGGCCAGGCCCGGCCCATCCGAGCAAAGACAGAGAGGGAAAAACCAGCTAAATCGCACGACTCCATGTTCGTGTCCCTGCCAGCCCTAAACCCTAAAACCCTAAACCCTGAACCTAAACCCTAAACCCTAAACCCTAAACCTTAAACCCTAAACCCTAAACAATCGCGGTCACGTGTGGGAGGCTTAGTTTCTGGAGCTTCGCGCACATGTCTCTGGCTCTGCCAACCGGGGCATCACGTGCCCCGCCAAGTTTGGGCCATGGGCTTCGTTTGAGAGCGGGGGGGGGGGTTAGGGTTTAGGGTTTAGGCTCTAGGGTTTAGGGGTTCTTCTTTCCCCTCCTGCACAGCTGGGGCAAATCCACATCGCAGGGTTTAGGGTCTAGCGTTTCGGGATTCCATGGATGCATGTCACAGGCTAAACCACTCGGAAGGTGTAAGGTACGAACTCGAAGAACAGCATTGTCAAGCGGCTGGCGGAAGACCCGAAATGCCAGAAAACAGCCAAAAACCAAACAATGCAGCAATCAAATGACCGCAGGCCACAATGAAAGAACAAGGAAACCCCCACCCTAAACCCTAAACCCAAACCCAAAACCCTAAACCCTAACCGCCCCCCGCCCCCAAAACAAAAAAGAAAAACAAAAAAGAGACCTAAGAAGATTTGGCTTTGGCGGCGGCAGACCCCTTCGACGGAGCATGGCATCCGGCACCACCCAACTCACCCAAAACACCCTGAACCCTGGGTTTATATAGGATTTAGGGTTTAGAACCCCCAAAGCCTGTGGCTCTTGTCTTTAAAGCCCCTTACTAAACAAAATAGGCAACCTACCAAAACAGTAGGCTTTCGGTGGGTTCTTAAACTTGTTAAAGTTCGAAAACAAATTTAATAAGAGTTCCCCTGAGGCAAGTAGCACCTTGGGGAGCCCCTTATACTAACAGTCCTTAATGGGGATTACCGAAGGTAAGAAGGGGGGGGGGGGGGGGGGGGGGGGAGGTATAATCCCTATTGAGCATGGTTTGTATAAGGAGGGAACATCCCAAGGTTTTAGGCCGGGAATAAAACTCAATACAATCATACTTACCAATATGGTCATCAGTCTAGTATTTTTAAGAAGAAGAATCATAATCATATTCATGATCGTAACATAACAATAACAGTAATAAAATAATTATAGTAGTTATGATTCAGGCCAGGGCTCAGAGAAGATGACGATCTTCTTGATGTTCTCTTCGGCGACGTCGTGGCTCTCCTCACGGGCGATCTACGCTTTCTTGCGAAAGGTCTCCCGAGGAGCCCCAATAACCCTTTAAATACGGATTGTTTAACGTTAAAAAGCCCCCAATACCCCTTTACATACAGAATAGACCCTCAGTTTTAAAGAAAGGACCCAAGAGGATTTGAGGTATCTTCCTTAATCAAGGAGTATTGGGCTCGTTGGGTTCGGGCTTCGGGAGACCCAACTCAACCCGCGGCATCTGGACTTGCAACCCTCACCCTGAGCCGACATAACCGCGAGAGTGGAGGGCGCACCTGTTTAGGGTTTAGGGTTTAGGGTTTGGGGTTTGGGGTTTAGGGTTTAGGGTTTAGGGTTTAGGGTTTAGGGCTTGTACAGTGAGCCCGAAACTTAGCTGCCCTCTGCCCTAGTCATGCGCAGCGCTTTCAGGGCCCCCGCAGCGGCTGTTGCATGCATTCTCACTCAGGTTATTACATCCCTTGTAAGATAATAGATTGTACATTACCCTTGTTTGGAATACTGTTTATGTATATGTATATACATGCGTGTATATATATATATATATATATATATATGTGTGTGTGTGTGTGTGTGTTTTTTGCTTTTGGGGCGGGGGTTCTTAAGCAAATCGTCGTCTTTCGAAGCCAGGTGGCAGGGCCTCCCTCAGGATCCTCCCACTTGACAGTGTAGGTGCCGTCGTCATTGATCTTCTCGATGGTTCCGGGATACCACTGCTCGTCATCCGGGTACCTATGTTGGGGTTTAGGGTTTAGGGTTTAGGGTTTAGGGTTTAGGATTTAGGGTTTAGGGTTTAGGGTTTAGGGAGGCTTCTGTAAGAAGGCTTAGGGGACTTGCAGTTTTGGGCGGGCAGTGCGCGCGACTGGCGCGAGAGCCTGAGTGCGGAGTTTTAGTTTTATGGAAGGGGTTCCACGCCGATACAAGCAAGGGTCACACATTCGCATCTATCTGCATGGTGTGGGCTTTGCTTCAGGGAAGGTCTGTTCAGGGTTGCGTTTAGGGCTTAGGGTGTAGTGTTTAGGCTTCGCGAGAGTTTCGGGCTTATGGGTGGGGAGGAAGGGGGTGGGCCAGTGGGGACTGGTGACATGGCGACACGGAAGCATTGTGTCTATGTAGAAAATTGGTCTAAGCCACCACAAGATGATGCGTATTGTGACTGACCCTAAACCCTAAACCCTAAACCCTAACCCTAAACCCTAAACCCTTAACCCTAAACCCTAAACCCTAAACCCAGCCTGTCCTGATGCGCTCCGAGATACAAAGCATTGACCTCGTCTCCCACAGCGAGCTTGGCAGAGTCGCTCTCGCCTCTGTCGCGAACTAGAGCCCCCTTAAGGGTTTAGGGTATATGGGTTTAGGGTTTATGGGTTATGCGTTTAGGGTTTAATTAGGGTTTAGGGTTTAGGGTTTAGGGTTTAGGGTTTAGGGTTTAGGGTTTAGGGTTTAGGGTTTAGGGCTTCATATAAAACCCAAGGGGATGTCAAATTATGCATGGTGTTGCTTAAGGTTCCAAGAAGAGTATAGCTCCCGGCTCGGGAGCCAAAAAGGGTTTAGGGTTAAGGGCTTAGGGTTAAGGATGTTCCCCCCATATACGAACAGTCCTTAATCAGGATTCAAATGGAGGTACTATCCCTATTCAGGTCTGTTAGTGTAAGGGGAAACATCCTAAGGTGAACCCTAATGAAGCCCAAAAAGCCGAGATAAAAACAGTAAACGCAGGTTCATTTCGTCCCCAGGGAGGGTTCTCCTGGATGGGGAGGGATCGATGGGGACTTTGGGGGCAAAGCGGCTCATAAGAGACTTACACCTCCTTGAACCGGGCTACACCGACATGGGCACGTGGACCATCAACCTTTTTGAGGTTCATGTCGCCGCCAAGGTAGGGGCCAAGCGAACCCTAAACCCACTAAACCCTTACAACCTAAAACCCAAAAACTCTACAACCCTAAACCCTAAACCCGTAAACCCTAAGCCCTAAAACCCTAAAACCCCAAAACCCCTAAACCCAAAAACCCCAACACCCTGGAACCCTCAAACCCCGGGGTTTAGGGTTAGGGTTTAGGGTTTAGGGTTTATAAGGGTTTAGGGTTTAGGGTTTAGGGTTTAGGGTTTAGGGTTTAGGGTTTAGGGTGCCTCCACGCGCGCGGAGTGCAAGGCCACGGGAGGGCTGCTGGTGGCGCAGTGGGCGAGCCACCGGCGCTGCGGGCAGTACGAAGGAGGGCGCATACCTGGGGGTCTGGGGGTCTTTAGGGCCTGTAGGGTTTAGGGTTTAGGGTTTAGGGCCTGGAGGGTCCCAGAGCGTGCTACAAGGCCTCTTTTACAGGGTTTGGATGGGTTTCGGGCTCAAAGCTTGAGGGGGTTTTATTTTGGTGGTCATGAGCTCGATGCTTTGTCATTTGTTGCTCCTTTATTCGTTTATTTATTTAGTTTTTTTTTCGGGAGGGGGTGTCTTAGCGACAGCTAAGTACAAGTACAGGACATGCGTTGCTTTTCACAACTTGGTGCAAAGCAGCAGTAAAGCAGAAGTGCGTATGGGCTGCGTGATGTTGCATGCGGTGCGCAACATGAAACAATCTTACCGTGGCCTCCGACCCCCTGTTTGAATACTAGGGCTCAGGACAATATTGCCAGCTTCTCGCGAAGACAGGCCCCACAAGCTCTGCAGGAATCTGATTCAAGGGCTATGTGCATGAGGAGTATGAAACCCTAAACCCTAAACCCGAATCCCTGAACCCTGAATCCCGTTACCTCAACCCTAAACCCTAAACCCTAAACCCTAAACCCTAAACCCTAAACCCTAAACCCAAAATCCTAAACCCTAAACCCTAAACCCTAAACCCTAAACCCTAAACCCTAAACCCTAAACCCTAAACCCTAAACCCTAAACCCTACCGACTACAGGCAACCCCAAGCCCTGAACCCAAACACCTCTCAGAGGCCTCCTAGGGCCCTGAACCAAGGACCGGATTCGGGGTGGGGGGGGGGGGGGGGTTAGGGTTTAGGGTTTAGGGTTTAGGGTTTAGGGTTTAGGGTTTAGGGTTTAGGGTTTAGGGTTTAGGGTTTAGGGTTTAGGGTTTAGGGTTTAGGGTTTAGGGTTTAGGGTTTAGGGTTTAGGGTTTAGGGTTTAGGGTTTAGGGTTCTCTAACTTCGGTCCCCATTCTAGCACCCTTACAACAAGGACCCCAAGACCCTGATTTAGAGAACAGCCCATATTGTTATACAGGTGTCCTCTAGGATCATGGCGGGCATATGAGGGTGATAGGGGCGTCTCAGGGTTACGTAGGGATACACAAGGTTCTGCAGGTGTTGTTTCGGGTTGTATGGGGCTGTATAATTAGGGATCAGTTATAGGGCCCACAGAAACAACAAAGCTCGAAACCTCCTTCGATTCCATATCAAGCCCGGTAGCAAGCACGCCACGAGCGCCACAAGCACGGCTAAGGGCTTCCTCACGGAACAAGGATGAGCTGCTGGGGATTTTAGGGCTGCAGGGGTTTAGGGCCTTAGGTGTTCTTTTTGTTTTGTTGAGTTAAGGGTCGACAATTCAAGGTTATTGTACGGGTACTTAGGGGAAATCCAAGTACGCGATGAGGATGCCATACCACTACGATGGTCTCAAGGCAGCTTCACCAGCGGCCTCGTTGTCCTCCGAGCGGATCTACAAGCTGCCTCAGGTGCGAGCGCGATCTCTAGGGTTCTGTTTTAGGTTACGCGCCTCAGATTTAGGGTATAGGGTTTAGGGTTTTAGGGTTTATGGGTAAGGTAGGGATTGGTGCACTTTTGAGCATGGATTGCGGAAGCTGCTGGCAAGCCAGCCTCGCGCGCAGGGACCAGAACGTTCGAACGTTCTAAACCCCCCCAAACGCACCGTGCAAGAGAACGAAACTTGGCTGCTCTCAGGAGGGTAGCTATAAATTAAACTTTTAGCTGCCTTAAGAAGAAACCCAATAAACCCACAAAAGGTAAGGATCTAAAGTTACAGTAAAGTACCACAAAGGAAAGACACCTGGAAAAGAAAGCCTATTCATTTGCAAGACGGCGGGTCGAAGCAAAAGCCATGGACCTTGACAAAGCATTCTTCAGACCTCCTGCTTATCAGAGACAAGCAGGCCGACAAACAGACGCGAAGTACCCGCTGAACGCCAACTTGCCAGCCCAACATTGCGTTTAAGACCTATATCGGCCTGCAACTGCATCTCAAAAGCAAGCTAAAGACCAGGCATGTGCATATATCTATATGGTTAGCATATATATATATGTATATATATATATATATACATGTGTGTGTATGTATAAACACATACATAACTGAATATCTGCATATGTGTAGAACATGAGAGCTTGACCCACAGCCAAGCTGCCAGGGGAGCCATGGCGGCAGACGATCGTGGGGCCAGTGGGCGGAAAGAAATCAAAACTGCTGGCTTTGAGCCGGTGCAGAGGTTCGGGCCGTCCCTTTTTAAACTGTAGGGTTTAGGGTTTAGGGATTGGGGTTTAGGGTTTAGGGTTGGGATGTTCCCCCTTATACTGACAGTCCATCCCTATTGAGGTTAGTATAAGGGGGAACATTCCAAGTGTAGGGTTTCTTGTTTCTTGTCGGTGTATAAACTTGGCTGCACTCAGGAGGCTAGCTATAAATTAAACTTTTCGCTGCCTTAAGAAGAAACCCAATAAACCCAAAAAAGGTAAGGATCTAAAGTTACAGTAAAGTACCACAAAGTTTCTTGTCGGTGTATAAAGCTCTCGGCTCCAGAAATTGTGGGAATCGGCATGCTGGAATCTGTGCAGGACATGCAGCTTGGGGGCCTCCAGGCCTTCTGATTCGGTTTAGGGTTTAGGGTTGAGGGTTTAGGGTTTAGGAGATCCTCCAAAATCTACGAATGTCGCCTTGTTCCGAGTAACCTTACCAATAGGGCTCGCTGCACGAAATTTTCAGACTTGCACAATTGTGGGTAACGAGCCTAAACCGAGAGCAAGTTTAGCTGACTCCCTCGCGCATTTAGGCCTCAGGGCTTTTTAAGCTTCCAAATGGTCTTAGAGTAGCTACATGGTCCCTTAATATGGGCCTTGAGTTGGGGACTATAAAACACAACAAAAAAAACCTACAAAACCCAGGGGCCTATACATCAGAACCCTCCAATCAAGGGAAGGAGGGCCCATGTAACTTCCTGTTAGAATAAACACCCCCACCCCCACCCCCCCCTCATAATGCCCTAAGCCTCAAACCCTAAACCCTGGCGGTTGCCTGCATGGGAACGCGCTCGATTTCTGCCGCCGCATACTTTGGGGTGGAGACGAGGCTCCAGCAGTCGAAGTCCTGTGAGGTTTGGGGTGAGTCTGTGTCGATGTATATTTCTTGATCAATAGCCGTGAGTGTTTTCACATGGTGTCCGCTTGGGGATGCAAGCAATGATCTAGCGTCTTTAGGGTGTAATTACAGGGCTTAATCGGGTATTTAGGGGGGGGGGGGGGGGGCATGCAGGGCATGCAATGTACAGGGCTTATAGAGCTTGTAGCGTATTTCGGCTGTGCAGGGCTTATGGGGTTTAGGCCTTGGGGACTAACCCAACAAGCAACAGATGATCTACTGACAGCACTGGAACCTTCCGGACTAATTCCCTATACTACTTGAATCCCTGTTAGACTCTACAGGGTAACTATCAAGTCTCATGGAGAATCTCCGCATGGTTGCTTAAGGACCTCATACTTAGGGTAAAAAAGCCGGAATTCGGCTTAAGGGTTTAAAGCGTGCAGGTCTCGGGCATACAAACCCTAACCCCTAAACCCTAAACCCTCTTGCAACGGACTTCCGACGCTCACTCTCGCACAAGGCCGGCAAGGTCTGAAGTTGAATGGTTCGGGGGTTTAGGGTTTAGACTTTAAACCCTAAACCCTAACTAAACCCTTAAACCCTAAACTCTTAAACCCCCAAACCCGAAACCCTTAGCCCTAAACCCTAAACCCTAAACCCTAAACCCTAAACCCTAAACCCCCAAAAGGAGCCCCAAAAAAGGGCTTTAAGTCCTTGAGCTCAGTGAGCCCCGGTTTGGACGACGTCTGCGCAGCGAACCAGAGGATGGGACTGGCCTTGGCTCTCCGGGTCGGTGTTTGGGGTTTAGGGTTTAGGGTTGAGGGCTAGGGTTTAGGGTTT